CCTCCTAGGTTAGAATCTCCCCTCCCTCTTCAAATCTCACCGAGACAGATCAGGAGCGTGAGGATGGGGGTCATGGCGTCTCCTCCCACTGCCCTGCTGTGCGGATGGAGGAACCCTCGGTGCTGTCAGGACAGAGACACACAGAGAGAAATAGCCTCCCCTCCTTCCCACCCTGTGCGACACTCGGAGGCTGGGTCCCTCTCATGGGGTGTTGTCATCTGCAGCTACACAGGAAGCAGAACTGACCTCCCAGGATCCTGACTCTGATTCTCTTAGGGCTGAGGTTGGGGCAGGCACCGGGCCCTCTGCAGACATTTCAGACTGTAATGGGGTCTTTCCTGACCCCCAGCCACTGTCTGTCTGGTTTATCCTCGTCTCACTGAGAGCCGGGATGTAGCGGCAAATAGAACTGGTGCTTCCTGTGTCTGCCCTTCCAGATGAGGGTAGCGGAGGCTTCCCCTTCACAGTCTCCCACAAGGTCTCTCTCCCTCCTTCCGCCCGTCCATCAGCACACGTTGTGTGGTCCTTACCATGGCAGTGGTCTCTCCAGCTCTGGAGATGCTTCAGGGAAGACACAGGTCCATGCTACAGGCAGATTCAGACCAGCAGAGACGCGTATCGCATCTCGCTGTGCCTTCCAGGCTGAGCTGCGTGTAGCAGTGAGGACAGAAGAGAAATGCAGGGAAATAGGGGAAGAAAAGTTGACTTCTTTCTTGGCACTGGACTGTGGGTTTTCTTTCAATAGTTCCCTCTCAACTTCCCCTTTTTAATTTTTTTTTTTTTTGGGCTAGAGTGTTCACCCCCTCCCCCCAGGAACAAACCTCTGAGTCTTTCCTGCCTCCTCGGTGCCCCTTGCGTCCTTGGCCGTCCCTCTTCACCTCAATTCCTGGTCAACATTTTGGGAACAATGAGTTATGTCTGCGCTTTGATTTGAGGAGCTGAGGAGGGAGTTGATACTTATTTGATGACTGGTTGTCATCCACTGCCTATGTGACCTTGGTTTGTAGTGTCCCATCTCTGAGCCTCAGTTTCTTCCTTTGCAGACTGTTGTCATGAATCCCACTCGTCACAGTGGTTGTGGGGTCAGTGGTGCCTGGGACATTGGGAGGGGCTCATTTCTGCCTGATTTCCAGACCAGGGTAAGACCTGAGGTGCTTGTGACATGAGAGGATCTTGGTGTTGGACTCCACAGTCTGTGAAGGTGATTGATGTGTCCACTTAAGATGTCACATCTGACCCTAATGGAGAAATGTACATCAGGCATTTCTGAAATACCCAGAGCGTCAAGGTCTTGAGCAGAAAAAGACATGTGGAAGCCCTGAGTGTAGAAGGATCCACAAGAAAGAACAGAAGCCAGAGGTGAGATGCCACAGGGTCCTGGGACCATCAAGGGCTCATTAGGGTGGAGGTTTCATCACTGAGTGGAGCCAGGAGAGGAACCTCGGGATCTGCAATGACAGAGAGGGGCTCAGGGCTCCAGATCAAGGTGGGAGGCTGCGTCCTTCAGCCACACATGAGGCTCAAGTGGACCCCAAGCGGCCCAGAGGAGTTCCATCAAAGGAGTGCACCAAACCGTCCAGTGATAGAGCCGCTGGGATTCCATAGAAAGAAGCACTAAACACTAGGGTGTTCATAAAACATTTACTGGGGGACTTCCATAGAGTGGGGCATCCTTATCTCCTTGCCCAGTGTCTCCTCGTGAATCTCAAGGATGTGCTTCCACGTAGCAGCATCTTCTTCAGATGGACAAGGAGACACTGGGTGTTCTATCCAAAGCTTTAACCTAAAATAAAAATAAACACAAAAATAAACCCCTAGAGAATATGATCTCTCAGTACAGTTGTTTCTTGGGATACACAGGCAACTCGTTTCAGTACCCGCTACACGTACCAAAACTTCCTGGTACTCCAGCCCTGACATTGTCTCTGCTGGACCTGCATATAGGAAAAGCCCGCTGTTCATATACGCAAGTCTTGCTTCTCACAAATGCAATAGTTCTGATCCCCATTTGTTTGAAAACAGTGTGCACATAAGAGACCCCAGGAATTCAAGGTTGCATTGCTCCAGGGTTGCCTGGATTTTGAGTGTATTTGGGAGTGAGAAGCAAGGATTACAATCTAGAGTGCATGGCATGGCAAGCCACAGTGCATCCGGGGAGGGAAGTGTGATGTTGGGATATATGCAGGTTTTCACCCGCGGTTCCTGGTTCATAATTCCCATAGCGCTTGTTACGGTCTTTCATTAGAATGTTGGCTGTGTTGGGCCTAGGGGGGCCTCTGATCTCCTTCTGCCCTTCCTTCACCTGCCCAAGGCACGACTCGAATGATCCCTGTCTTTCTGATGGTGGCTCATAAGACCCTCCCAGAAGAGGTCTTACTCTGTTCCTTGTGGGAGGAAATGCTGACATCATGAAGCTTCCATAAAAGTCCAAGAGGACTGGTTTGCATGAGTTTCTGGATGGCTGAGCATGTGGAAGCGCCTGGAGGGTGGCACCCAGGGAGGGCATGGAAGCTCCGCGCCCCTTCCCCCATGCCTCCTGCTATGTGTCTCTTCATCTGTGTCCTCTGCAGTGTGCTTTGTATTCAACCAGGAAATGTCAGTGTTTCTCTGAGTTCTGTGAGCTGCTACAGGAAATTAATCAAACCCAAAGAGGGGGTCATGGGATCCCCAACTTGAAGCCAGTCGATCAGAAGTTCTGGAGGTCTGCACTTGGGAAAGGTGTAGGGGACAGTCTTGGGGACTTAGCCTTTAATCTGTGGGATATGGGACTGTCTCTGGGTAGACAGCGTCAGAGCTGACTTAGAGGACACTCACCTGCTATTCGCTACTGGGTCTGGGGGAATAAAAAATCCCACACATCTGGTCCTAGAAGTCTTTTTCTGTGTTGATGATTCCTGTGATGTGACAGTAGAGGAAAAGCACTGTAGAGAGAGTTCTCTGTACATAGAGAGGTAGAGGAAGTTCTTATCAGCAACAAGGGAGAGGCTGACAGAGCTGCCTAGAAACAGAGTTCCCTGGTTCCAGAGGTTCAAAGCCAGAGTTGCTGTCAGTCCATCGGAGGAGATGCCATTGCTGGGCAAGTGTTCTCTCGAGAGCATCTTATCTGAATTCCTGACGTCCTAAAGAATAGCTAGTGATAAACCTTGTCAAAACAGGAGGAGGGTGAAGGACATGGAAGAGGGACAGAACTAACCTTAAACCTTTTGATTTATGATACTGGGATGACGTTTTCCTCATTTAGGTCTTTTGTTATTTCTTTGAGCAGTAGTTTTAAATTGTCAATGTGAACGTATTGCATCTCTTTGGTTAAATGTATTTCTCTTCTTTTTTTTTTGAGACAGAGTCTCACTCTGTTGCCCAGGCTGGAGTGCAATGGCACGATCTCAGCTCACTGCAACCTTTGCCTCCTGGGTTGAAGCGATTCTGCTGCCTCAGACTCCTGAGTAGCTGGGTTTACAGACATATGCCACCACGCCCAGCTACTTTTTGTATTTGGATAAATGTATTTCTATGAGTACTTTTCTTGCAGACACTGTTATAAATTGACTTGTTCCTCTAATATACATGTTGAAATGCTGAGCTCCATTAGCTATAAATGTGAACATAGTTGGAAATAGTCTTTGCAAATACATTTAAGTCATGATCAAGGGATCATAATGAATTAGAATGGGTCCTAATTTGATCTGAGTGATATCATAATCTGAAGAAGAGAAGAGACACACAGAGAAGAATGGGTGTAAAGACAGAGGTACCCAGGTAGACATAGGCTGAGAAGATGGAGGCATAAATTGGCGTGACATTGCCCCAAGCCAAGGAGTGACTGAACCAGCAGACAGTAGGACAAGTCATTTAAGAATTCTTCCATCGGCCAGGTGCAGTGGTGTACACCTGTATTCCCAGCACTTTGGGAGGCTGAGGCCGGTGGATCACCTGAGGTCAGGAGTTCAAGACCAGCCTGACTAACATGGTGAGACCCCTGTCTCTACTAAAAATACAAAGATTAGCCGGGAATAATGGTGCACACCTGTAGTCCAATTACTCGAGAGGCAGAGGCAGGAGAATCGCTTGAACCTGGGAGGGGGGATGTTTCAGTGAGCCGAGATTGCGCCTTTGCTCTCCAGCCTGGGTGACAGAGCGAAACTCCATCTCAAAAACAAAACAAAACAAAACAAAACAAAAGAACAAAACATTCTTTCATTGAACCTGCACAATTATGTTAACATCTTTCTTATGTTGTACTTAGATTTTTAAGTGAGCCGTGTTATCTCTCACATCAGATATTAATATGTCTGTCTTTTGTGGATATGCTAGGATAGCAGTGTCAGAGTTTCATTTGACCTGTGCCATAACACTGAAGTCGAAGTGATCATTGCCTCTGAATTAGAAAGGACTGTAGGTATATGGGTGAGCTCTCAGTGGGATGTGCCACAGGCGCCTGGTGCTCATTAGTGAAGACACCTGTGTCCCTCGCTTCCCAACCCTACATTCAGTGAGAACCTATTGGCACCTTGATGTGGGCCATGAAAAGAAATATTTATGTCACAGGAATTGGTAGATACCACCAATAATAGCATTTTAAAGATGTCTTTTTCAGAATCAGCATAGCTGTGGTGTCTCTTGAAATGTGTGGGTGATGATTCCAAGTGGTGATGTTTCAGGAAAAGTTGCGCACAGAGCATCTGAGAAGGAGGGAAGAGCACGAAGGGTGCAGAGAGGCTGTCAGGGCATCAGGGTGGATTTATCTTTATCTGGTTGGAATTTGATCTGTCGTTGACTTAGTTGGTGGTTCAGATTTGGATCTCTGAACTGAAGAGATGGGGACTCAGTAAGGGACATCAAGGAGTGTGACAATGAGGAATAAGGAAGACTGTGTTACATGCCGTGGACCAGAGCATGCAGGTGTGCGGAGGTGTGGACCCAACGCTGCCTTGTGGGATGGAGCCTCATGTCTGGGGATGGGATAAAAGGGGGATCCATTCGAGGAAAGTCAACATTCATAGTTAAAAAAATGTATCACAGTTTAATGATCTTCTAGGAATCACCCCAGACAGTTTCCCTGCACTCAAATATGGATTCCTGTCTTTGGAAGTGACCAGCAGACAGTTCAGATAACGTAGGTCCTAGATTGTCCTCCAGAACTTCCTGGGATCATCAGATCTGTCCCTGAGGCTCCACCACTCTGAAGGGTGCATTGTCGTCTCTGCTGTTCACCGGCTGGCTGCATCTTGGGGGCTTCTCTGGCTGTGCTGAGCCTCAAATAGCAGAATCCCAAGGACCACCAGGACCAAGCCAGCCACGCCCATGCGGATGAGATTCTCCACTGTGTAGTCCTGTGGGTGTTGGCCTAGGGGTGGTGGACAAAGAGGTCACAGAGGTCAGCGCAGGTCAGAATCACCCCGGGACCCCTGGATGTCCACCCAGGGCACCCACCTCCCCTGGACAGTCCCTGGCCCTCTGTGCCAGTCCCATAACCGAGAGCATCTCCTCACTCACCAGTCTTGGAGTCTGTCTGGTTTTGTGACGGGCTGAGGGTCTCAGCTGCTCCTGAGAATCAAAACAGTGGAGAAGAGCCCTGAGCCCAGCCTCGCTCCTGGCCTCTGCAGTCTTCTCTTCCCCTGTGTCTCTTGACATGAGTTTTATGGAGTTCCTCAGAAACCCTTCCTCTGCTGTAGCAGGGTTCCCTCCAGTCTCCTCATTAATTATGTCAGACTTCCTGTGCCCTACAAATCCAAGCTCGGCTCCTGAGTCATTCGGGAGAGTTTTCCTGCACCCCGAGAGCTCAGCATGTATAAGGAAAGTGGTCCCCAGTCCAGAAATAACCGAGACCTTGTGTGCTCTCTGTGCATCCTGGGACCTTGTGTGCTCTCTGAGCCCTAACAGGCTGCAAGGGGCAGGTGCAGGACCACAGCAGTCAATTTCCCTGGAGATGAGAGTTTCACGTATCCACCAGCTGAAGACGCAGGCTCCATGGAGGAGGGGTTGGACCTCAGGGGCTCCTGAATGTCAGGAGCACAAAGGGTTGAGAGTCTGGACCTGCCTCCCCTTCATGCCCTCAGCCACTTCACCTGGGGTTTCATCTTCCGTTTAATCCCTAGGTAACGAATTCCTCATGCAGGCAGGAACCCCTAGAATGCAATACAGGTGCACACACACCCACACACACAGATAAGCATGTGCTAAGTGGTGGTGCTATCCGAGCTTCATAAATCAGTATTTCTGCTTTCAGGAAGTGTGAATCTAGCTGAGAAAACCAGCAACAAACATGTAAAGACCTGTCACGTCAAATGTATTAAGCATATGGATGAATACACATAAAAATGTATTTAGATATACCTACACACATTCAGATGTAAGTATATAACTGTACATAAACGTGTATATATGTAAAACTTCAGATATATGCTTAATATGAAGTTATATACATGTTAGTATTTGAGTGAGAAATATTGCTATGCAATTTAGAAATAAAGAAATCAAATTTCCATGTTTTATAATTTATATAAATTTTACCAGAAATTAAAAGAGATCTACTGAAAAGTAATTAGAAAGGAGCGATTCTGCAGTGAGTGAACACGAATTTAAAAGAATATGCTGAAACCAGTCGCTTTCTCATGGATACCTCTCTCTTATTTTAAAAAAGATAAAGAAATCAAATATCTCACCTAAAAATTGTTAAAGATGTTGAATGAGTCTTTAAGTTAAAATGAGCATACAATATTCTTATGAGCAAAATTTCAAAACACTTCTTACATTCATTAAGAAAATTTCCATTTTGAATGTCTAAAGGAGGAAGGTTTGATATTAATGAGAAATTTGTTTCTACATTGAATGTGTGAATTAAATCAAGACCCAATTAAAGGGGGAGTATCATTCATGATTTTTAAATAATAAATGCATACAACAAACACAATTATAAATTTATATATTCAAATATTGTTTTAAACGTTTTAGAAAAAAAGGAACGATGGACACGTGCGTATAGAAAACGCAGAGTAGAAATGAGTTGTACAAAAGATGAGCTGTGAATAATTCCCTAACTCGTTCAGGGAGCAGGTGCACAGCCCCTCCTTATTCTCAGGGGTGCCCTGAGCACAGAAGCCTCCTCCAGATGAGCACAGGAGGGGCAGTGTGAGGGGCACCCACAGCCGGGGTGCTTCTCTCTAAAGGAGCAGGTCTGGGGCAGACTCCAGCCTCATCACAGTCAGATCCCACCGAGGCCCGAGCAGCTTCTTCTCCGGTCCTGAGATGGCCCAGGGACCCCGCAGGTGTGGGTGAGGGGCTCATTCTCAGGGACCCTTGGAAATGAGAAATGACAGCTGCCAAGGGAACGTCTGTCTGTCCTCTCTCCATCTCGCCTGCCTCTCTTCCTCCTCCATCAGTCCAGCATCTTCCCCGAGTCCAAGTCAGACTGGGCCCCAGATCCTGCTGACCCAGCCTGTTCTCCTTTCTCTACGCATCACACACCCTGCAGGACAAGGTCGGAGTCTGGGGGTCCTGCAGAGCTGTGCCAGGTGTTGCTTTTAGTAGAAAATTGGAGAGATTTTCTCTTATACATGAGACAGGGGAGATCGTCAACCAGTGGGGTTTGTAAACTTTTGTTCTTTCCAAAATACTGTGGCTTTGTCTTACTAAGCTGAGATTCCAGGAGGGATGAGCAAAACTGCATGCACCAGCCCCCATCTCTGTTGGCTTTTTTTTTTTTAAACCCTTACAGTTATTGGGACAATCAGGACAGGGCCTGAGAGGGCTGCAGGCGGGAGCAGATCTAGGATGAGCCGCATCCCAGATGCCCCAGAAGGTCAGAAATGAAGGGGCTTTGGGGTGGTCACATCCAGGCAGCTCCCCGTTATTCAGATGGGGAGTCCAGGGTGTGAGGAGAACCAGCTTTTTCAGAAGTTCCACCTCCCAAGGAGAGGCTGAGCCATCACAGCCTCAGCCCCACCTCCCCGGGCTCCTCCCACCTGACTCCTAGAGCAAGCACCTGCCTGTGATCTCCCCTGGCCCTGGCTCCCCATGAGAGGTGATGGCTCCTGGGAATCCTGCTCGGGGAGGGGGAAAGTCCTCACTGCTCCCCTCATCATGGCGAACCTCAGACACCTCCCTCCCCTCTGACCACCACGGAGGGAACACCTGCCCCATCCCTGGAGCCCCAGGAAGCCACGCGGACCACACCCTTACTGTCCACCCTGCCCTCTGCTGCTCTGGAAATCAGACCCTGCTTATTGGAGGTAGCATTGAGATGAGTCTAGAAACTTCTCTTGAGCTGGGAATGGCTGTTTCTTTGTCACCCATGAGTCAGGACTTAGAGGTTGGGACCCCCAGAGACTCTGATTCTGAGGTGGAGACATCAGGAGGGGAGCGGGTGGGGCCTCCGTCTTCCACCCTCAGTCTAATCTCATCTCTGAGGTTCACCCCCGTCTCCTCCCAGCCCTCCCTGCTCTTTACCCTACTGAGACTTCAGGGGTGGGAGCCAGGGGTGGGAGGTCCCGTCTATTTCCACCCTCTCATGGGCTGGGACGTTCCCTGCGGACCCTCCCCGTTCACTTCCAGAGCTCCCCTGGAGGCAGGGCCTGAGCTGAGCCTTTGAGCTCAGAGAGGACAGGATCAGGGCCCTCACCTGAGACCACAAGCTCCAGGGGGTCACTGGCGGCCGACCACTCAGAGGAGAGGTTGTGTGCACCGCAGCATGTGTACTGGCCCCCATGGGAGCCCCTCACAGGGCCCAGGGTGAAGTTGGCCTGGGAGAGCCCAGCCTGGGGCTGCCGGCCAGGGCGCTGGAGGAAGTCACATCCCCCCTCCTTGTATAGAGCGAATCTGTCGTAGCCGGCATCAGAGCCACACTGGAGGGTCAGGTTTTCCCCAGGGGCCACGACAGGACCCGGCTGCACTGAGAGTGATGGCTTCTTAGAAACACCTGGGAAAAGGTGGTCACGGTTTCCAGGAGCAACCCTCAGGCTTCCCCACAAACCCTCCCTCTCCCCCTGGGCCTCACCACTGCTGATCTTCCTGTGTCTCTGGCCCCAGGAGCCCTGAGCCCTCTC